AGTCTCACTTTGTCCTACTGTCTGCTAGCTCATTACACTTCAGCTATACTGGCCTTTTTAATTCTGCAAAAATGCCAAGATTCCCTCCTCAGGGCCTTTGCCTTAATGACCTTCTCTGCCTGGAATATACCTTCCTCTATATGTGTTCATCTGGCTCCTATATGTATATGATATTGTTATTGTTTATTTCTTTACCAATTGTCCATCTCCCACTAGAATATAAGCTCTATAAAAAAAGAAATTCATCCATCTTTTTAAATACTGTGTCCCTAAAACCCGAAACAATATGTAAGTGAACAAAAAGTTATTTAAAAAATAAACCATTAATTGAAAAGACTGGCCAAAGCTTCTGAAACTGTTATGTAAAGCAAAGAAATATATCGTTCCCCCTCTCCTTTCCATAATCGGTTATCCATTTATTGCATCTCAGCTACAAATTTACCCTTTTTGCCTGCTCTGTAATGGACTCTAATATAATTATCTTCCAATATTTTCTCATAGTTTGAAGATCTAAATTCCCTGGTAATACAACTTACAAAGGAACAGTTATCATCAAAAGACCTTAAGAATTACAGTTGGAAAAACCTGAGATCCAGTTATGTCTCCAGCAATTAACAGCCAACATAACCTTGGACAAATTACTTAGCCTCTCAGAGCTGCACTTTCCTCATCTGTATAATGCAGATTGTAATCCCTGTCTATCTTAGAGGCTCGTGGGGAGGATCAAATGAGATAATGCATAAATAGTAAACTATGGACAAGTAGAAGTTACTATTATCTATCGGTTCAACGAAATTTTACTGAGCACTGCCCTGTGTGCTAGATGCTATACTAGAGAGAAAATTATAAATAAGACAGAACCCTAACTCTCAAAGAGCTTACATTTTAGTTGAGGAGAAAAACACATAATCGGAATAATTTTATCATAGTTTGGTAATGTGCAGAGTGCTGTGAGAGCACAAAGGAGATATATTTAGCAAAATCCTGAGGCTTTGGGGAGGCTTCCAGTAGGAAGTGGGGCCACAAGTGAGTCTCAAAGGATCAGTAGGATAAGAAAAGAGTTCTTATCAAATAAGAAGGTAATGACCACCTTTCACTAGACCTAGAGCATGTTCAAAAGTCATTTTGGTTACATTATCATAAAAATCACAATTCAAATATCACCTGGGATAAGACTCTTCTATCAAAGTTTTTGCACGGCAAAGGAAACCATCGACAAAACGAAAAGACAACCTACCAATTGGGAGAAGATATTTGCCAATGACACAATCAATAAGGTGTCACACCCAAATTTTACAACTTAACACCAAAAAACAAACAAACAAACAAATAATCCAATTAATAAAAGGGCAGAGAACCTGAATAGACATTTCTCCAAAGAGGACATACAGATGGCCAATAGACATATGAAAAGATGCTCAACATCACTAATTATGAGAAAAATGCAAATTAAAAACATAATGACTTATCACCTCACATCTATTGGGATGGCTATCATCAATAAATCAACAAACAATAAGCGAGGATGTGGAGAAAAGGGAACCTTTGTGCACTATTGGTGGGATCCCAAATTAGTGCAGCCGCTATGGAAAACAGTATAAAAGTTCCTCAAAAACTTAAAAATAGAACTACCTTATGACCTGGCAATTCCAATTCTGGGTATTTATCTGAAGAAATCCAAAACACTAATTCAAAAAGACATATGCACCCCTACGTTCAATGCAGCACTATTTACAACAGCCAAGATATGGAAGCAATCTAAGTGCCTATCAATAGACGACTGGATAAAGAAGATGTAGTACATACACATGATGGAATATTATTTGGTCTAAAAAAAAAAATGAAATCTTACCATTTGGGACAACATGAATGAACCTAGAGAGTATTATGTTAAGTGAACTAAGTCAGACGAAGACAAAGGCCATATGATTCCACCATATATGGAATCTAAACAACAAACAAACAAAATGGAAACAGACTGATAGATAAAGAGAACAAAGTGATGGTTGCCAGATGGAAGGGGGGTTGGGGAGCTGGGTGAAAAAGGTGAAGGAATTAAGAAGTGCAAAGTGGTAGTTACAGAATAGTCAGTCACAGGGATATAAAGTACAGCACAGGGAATATAGTCAATAATATTGTAATCATGATGTATGGTGCCAGGTGGGTACTAGACTAATAAGGGAGATCACTTCATAAATTATATAAATGTCTAACTGCTATGCTATACACCTGAAACTAATATAATATTGAATGTGAACTGTAATTGAAAAACAAACACACAGGAAAAAAATCTCTTCTATCAACTTGGACTTCCTGCAGCACCATTTATTTTTTTTTCTACCACTAATTAAAATACTTTTTTTTTTCATCTTTACAGCAATGTTTCTCATTCTACAAGAATATTCCCATTAATAAGACTGAAATTTTTCAATTACATACTCCAAGGTCAAAGTTTTCTTCACTGGAAAGGAAGTAATAAAGACACCATAGCATTAGGTTTCGATTTCTCCTTCACCATAGCTCTATAAGAAATACCCTCCCTTCCTTTCCACTGCCTCCCACAGCTATCCGAACAAGTTTCCAGGCAATACACTCCATCCACTCTCCTGTGTGATAAGGCAAAGGGTTCTCTGAACAATCTCTCAAACAAACTTGGCCCTGACCCATCCAGGAGAAAGCTGAGCACTGTCTGAAGCAGCAACTCACTGTCCCTCCTCCATCAAATCCAAAGACACTAAAGCCAGAGCGCTCCACAACCCAGTGGCAATCAAGACAAATTCAGTAAGTCTGAATCCACTAAAGCACAATATAGATTATCTTTTACCCTGCAATTCCAATCCTGGACATAGAACCAACAGAAATGTGTTTGCCAAAGATGTCCTACAATGTTCAGAGCATCAGTATTAGTAATAACCGCAAGAAAGAAAAGAAAATTCAATGCATGTCAACAACAGAATAGGTAAATAAACTGTTAAATAAAGTCAATCAGAAGTGGGATGAATGAAAGTCATGTGTCACCTGACAGGATGTAATGAAAAGAATATACCCTCACTTCTATGACATTCTTGCTCAAGATGTACAACTTGCATCTAACCGTGCAGAAACATCAGACAAACCCAAATTGAGAGATAGTCTACAAAATAACTAGCCTGGAATCTTAAACAGTAACAAAGTCATGAAAGTCAAGAAGAAACTAAGAACTTGTTCCAGACTGAAGGAGACTAAAAAGACATAATAACTAAATAACACATTGATTTAGGACAAATAAAGGACATAATTGAGACAACTGGTGAAATTTGAGTGGGATCTGAGGAATAGACAGTAATCGTGTACTGATGCTTCTTTCCTTATTTTGACAGTTAAATTGTGGTTATGGCGGAAGATGTCTTTGCAGGTATTACACACTAAAGTATGGGGGTGATGACACATCAGGTTGGGAACTTATTCTCAAATGGTTTATGGAAAACGTTTTTTACCTGTAACTTTTCTGTAAGTCTGTGATTATTTCAAAATTCTAAAAAGTTATTTTAAAATTTCTTAAAGTATGTTGGAGGGGGGAAAGAATGAACAGGAGGAAAGGAAGGAAAAAAGAATTCAAAGTTTATATGCTGTATTTTTTCTCAACAATTTCTTAACTGCAATTTGCTGAAAAAATGAATTTATTACTAACTTAAGAATTTCATTTTGTCTTTAATTTCAGTATATTGCTATCTCTCATTTTCTGCCCGAAAATAGAAAAAAATAAAATTTGTGAAAATCTACCACACATCCCTCTTTGTACAATTAGACTACTAGGGAGACACATTGACTAGCACATATACATGTGCCCGTTTTCACTAGCAAGGAAAGCTTCTTTTCAGAAGCCCCCAATTTCTCATATTTTCAGCCAGAATTCCATTGAATCACATGCATAAATCAACAATTTGGAAAGGTGGAGAAAACCACTATGATCAACCCAAGGATGGTCCCAAAGCTCCAGAAGCTTTCAAAAATAAATGGTGATATTTTTGGTTGTCATGCGGACTGGAGGCCACTTTTGGCATTCAGTGGATGAGAGGTGGAGATGCCCAATGTCCTGAAAATTATATGGCTGTTTCACATAAAGAAGTGCTGTCTAAAATGTCAACAGAGAGAAAATAGGTGAACGAAATCAATAATAATAAAACAAGGGGAATGGCTAACCGATAGACAAACATCAATGTCAGCTACAGAGATTCACAGTAGTGAAAAACACTATCTTCATCTATAAGTAGATTATGGTCCAGAGAAAGTCATAGACAAATAAGGAAACTATTTAAAAACATCAACTTTACTGAAGATAAAAAAAAAAAAATAGGATTAGGGAAGAAGAATATTAAGTTATTAAACACCCATTATGCTATAGATATTTTCATAAACTGCTTTATTTAATAAAAACCAGAATTAACATTTTAGTCTTCCCAAATACCAATATAGCTGAATTATATATATTTAGGTAACCCAGGAAAGTCAGTAATAAAAATCACTTATACCAAAAAATACTATAATTTTTAACTTAAAAGGAAAAGTTGGCCAGTGCTTGTACTATAATCAGTATAGCTGTAAAAAGCATAAAAAGAACTAGACTTTGCCCTCTACTGACAATAAATATCAATTCAGAACAGAAATCCAAGGGTTACATCCACCAAGGAGCACTCTAATTATGCAGGGCTGGATATGAAATCCATCTCTGAACAAAAAGACACAATCTTGAAGAAACCCACAATAGCCACTCACAAAATTAATCAACTCACATTAGTATTTACTAAGAGAAAGAAAAAAAATAAGAAACTATGAGTAGTAACAAAAACCTAGCAGTTCTAGAATTACCAGTATAATATCATAAGCAATTTGAATATTATTATGAAAATAAACATTTCTTAAGAAGTAAACAACAAAACTATTAAGGGTATATAAATGAAAATGAGAACATGTGGAAATAAAGTGACTATGGAAATGTAGTAAAAAAGTGAAATACTTACTGCCAAAGCCTTGGACAGTTTGGTTCTAAATTCGTTCAGGACAATTGCCACAATGTCCTTAAGTGGTACATAAGCAAAGCCATCTTCCAAATAGACTTTCCTTCCTCGAAACAAATCCAGAGCATCAGCAAAAGGGATCTGAATTCAGAGTGAAACAGGGAAAATAAGCAGTATCTGTCATTTTGAAATTCTCCTAAATCTTCATATGTATTAAGTCCAAATAAAATTCTTCCTATGAGAAATTCATTAATCCCAGCAGGACAAAAAAAAAAAGTGTAGGGGGAATCAATTTATACTCCTTAAAACTAAACAATTAGCATTAAGAAGAAGTGGCAGTCCAAAAATGTGTTCATTTCAGAATAGATGTCTTGAAAAATAATTATAACCCAAGTCAGCATGCTTTATTTTTACTTAATTCATGAATTTATGAATTATAATCCTCAGGATTTCAAACTCCTAACTCAAGCCCTCTGAGCACACTGCATTCCTCTCATATGATATCCTCTACATTTTATTCTGCATCAAGTAAAATCCTACTGTGTGTACAATATATTTGGTGCTGAAAATTACTAGCAAGTAATATAAACTTATTCATCTATGTTTCCATTCCTTCTCTAGAGAAATACAATGCAAAAGTTAATCTCAACACTAATAAATAGAAATAATAAGCATTTAGTTTTGCTATTAAAATAAGTATTTGCCAGTAAATATTAAAAAATAAAACTAATTCTATTCTACACATATTTTTAAAGTCCTATGGACTATACCAAAATTTTAAGATATCAGCAGAATATATTAGTAAACTGAGGAAATCATCCTTAACTTCCAAAAGATTTTTTTTCCCTTTTTAAAAGTGAGGTGAAAAATTAGGTTAAAAAAAGTCCCTAAATCGCCTATTCGCTCAATTTTTAGGGACTCTATATGTCTATCGTTCTTCAATACATCCAATGATATCACACAATAGATTGTGTGATTTTTAATAGTTTTTTTTTTTTAATGAATTTACAGATTTCTATGACTACGACACTGTCCTTGTCCTGAAGGAGGTTACCACTTAGTTAAGAAAACAAGATAAGATACATATGGAAGTCGAACAGCTCTACTGGGCAGTCCATGTGCAACGCTGCGCCAAACAAATAATTCACACAGGACGTATCAGAGAGGGGGTAAGAGAATTTAATTCAATCTAGGCAAGAAAAGGAGATAGAAGTTTGGAAATGTGAGTTCTAGTCCAAAATTTGTGACTTATTAGACTTATGATTTCAATACATTTAATAAATGTTTCCAAACCTCAGCAGCTAGACCTATAAAATCAGGAAAGGGGAGGAAGAGATGGTCTAAATGGCCCTTAGGGATTCTTTAGCTCTACTATTCCATGATTCTAGCTGATCAGGGTGGCCACAGTGGAAATAAAAATGCCCGAGCAGAAGCAAAAGATGATGTGAAGGCAGAGTAATAGGAAATATGTGGTTTGGAAGGCTGACTGCATGATGGCCTAACTGGCAGGAACGGAAAGCCAGAATGGGGAGCTAACGTGGAAGCAAGATTTTAAACTACTGGTACTCACCAATAATAATGAGTATATTCTTTCAAAGGAAATTGTGGTATTACAGCTATCAAAGTTCAAATGAATCTCAGCTGTCTTGTCTTCTCCTTCTGGAACTATTTAGTCCAAGAGCAACTCAGTGGGTTCAAGCAAAGCAGTATCTATGCTAAGGGATAGGGGACAGCAGAAGTGGCCTAGTGCAGGCTGAAACCTAGGTAGATGAAAGGTTTTCCCATGGGAGAGCAAGTAGGCAGACAGAGTCAGAGCCCGAGTGGCATGGAGCAGCATCCACGTGGGGAGACAGTCCAACAATGGTGTCAGAGCCCAATGACAGCAAACACTTTCATGCAGGGCTGTGACCCAGAAACAGGTGCTGGGCCAAGTGAGTGATGGGATATGCTTGCAGGAAGCAGCCCAGCATGCAGTATAAAGCTTAAGCATTGTGAGGAGAGAATTTCTTTTAGAGAATGGCCTGCGACAGGGGGTCGGAGCCCAAGCAGTGTTTGAGGGGTGTCTGTGTAGAAGCAAAGCCCAACACAGAATGTTGGCACACCCTTATAGGGGTAAAGAAGAAATCTCCAGGAGAGGGAGAGGCTGTGGTGACAAGAGGCTATACAAATAGGTTAATTAAATATGTATATAAACTTCTATGTAATATATTTTTAAAAACCTAGGAAGTATTTTAAAAGTTTACATACCTTATAAACTGACTCCAACTCCCACTTAGTCCCGCTTAAACTGGGTGATGAAGCAATAATCTCCTTTTCTCGAAGAGTCCTCTCTTCATCTTTTATCTAAAAAACACATATTTTATACCATTTAAGAAATTAAATCTTTCGTTTCAATAAAATACTTTCCTATTCTAGTGAAGATTCTATATTTTCATAGAAGTTTTTAAACCCTGGTATCTCAAATCATTCCAAATATGATTACTAAATCACTATTATCATTAATAAAGCCAGAATAAGGAAGAAAATTTAAATTCAATATACTTTCAAATTTCCACTCTGCCAATTTCTGAGGACATATAACAAAAGAACAGTAGCACAGAAACAAAAAGTATTATAATACAAAAGGAAAGGAATTATAATAAAAACTCAGGTTAATATAGACTAAAAATGAGCATTATCCCAATTCAAGAGTTATGTTAATTTATTAAAATACCTATTTGCAGTTAAGAGTGATTTAACTATTTCTCAACTTTCTGGACACATAAAACAACTCCAAACTTAAAACACTAGTTTTGCTAAGGAACAACTAGAAATCTATCATCTCAGACTAATTATGGCTTTAAAAAGAAGAGATAGCTCTAACTAGATAAAAATGTTCAACTTCTATACAGTGAAATAAAAGATCTGTAAATAGATATGAATTACAAATGACAAACTGATGGAAATATTTACATCCCTTGACATCTGAGTTACTCTCAATAAACCCCTCGGCAATAGGACATAAGGACTAGCAATCCAAAAGTGAATACACAATGTTGAGACAGTCTTTCCAAAGGGCCCTTTGACAAAACATATCAAAAAGCCTTAAAACACACAGATCCTAACAGTTTTACTTCCAGGATTAATCTTAAGTAAACAACAGGACAAATAAATAAGAACAAATTTTCTTCATCACAACATTATTTATGATAATAATAAGAAAAACTAACTGTCCAACAAGTACTCAGTTAAATAATTACAGTGGAATTTGATGTTTCAGTAAAGCAGGTTATATTCAGATCAACTTCTCGCAGTAATTAAAGAAGAAACACTGACAAAAATTTTTAAAGCATCTTCTTTAAAGCACAGAAGATTAAATACACAGGGTCAGGCCCACATGAAGTAAGGTATCTAACTTCACTTCATTTGAGACCCTAATGCTCAAATGCAATACGGGTCATTAGAAAAATACCAAACCTCGAACTTGTTTTAAGGTGGTTCCCTAATTCAAATGCCCCCAACACCTGGCAGAAGCAAACTCAAATCCACTCAAAGTACATTCACAGCATGCCTCAAAGGGTTCCTACAAATACTTTTAAATACAATGCCAAACACACTGCATTTTATATAACAAGGCACACAATAATACATCCCTTCATGAGCAAAAACAAAAGACTCAAATACATACAGGCATGTAAAGAAATAAAAGACAAGTGCGATGATAGCTGTATGAATGGGAAACTACAAAAAGTTATTTAAGAAAAAAATTTTAAAGAGAAGGGGAAGGAAACAAAGAACTTCTAGAAACATAAAAAACTCAGGAATAGTAATTAAAAACTCAATGGAATCATTAAAAAAAAAAATCCTTAAATTTCGGTTAATGTAAACTGTGTAATTTAGACCAACCCATCTGTATCAAAGGTGCCACAGGTTACTTAGGAACTGCCAGGCCAGCAGTCAAGGGCTGTCATTTAAAGCCCACTTTTATATTTGCTAATTCACAGAAAGCAGCTTCAAAGAGACTCAGTCAAAAGTGGATAACTATCTCCTACTCTCTAAGTCCCTGAAGGACTTAGGTGGGGTTGAACCAGAAGTTTATCAGCTGTCATAAGGATCTAGTGGGTCAGAGACCTCAGATTCTGCATATAATTAAAAATTATCCTAGACTAACATTGCCCCGAGATCCACAGATGAAACAAATGACAACCTTATGGAGAAAGATATAATCCTCCTAGGCCCTCCAAATAACTTTCCAAATACAATCTCCAGTACACAAGGGAACAAGATTCCATGAATGAAAGCCAGTTAGGTAAGTGGGTTCTTCTAGGAAAGGATTAGCTGAAAAAAGGCACAAGGAGGCATTTCAAGGGTAACAGCAATGCTTTATTCCTCACCTGAATAACAGACTAATGTTCACTTAATAATAATCTACTAAAGTATGTATTTTTGTTTCACATATATTTCTGGCAATGGTTATACTTCTTAGTTTTTAAAGGATTAAAAGAGTAAAATAAAAGTCAATGAAATGTGTTATAATGAAATATTATGCAGTCAGTAAAATTCTTTTTAAAATTATGAAAATTTATGATTACTATCATAGGAAGATTCCTGTGAAATACTATTAGGTGAAAGTAAACTAATACAGATAGGTGAAAACAGAGTAAATAAATCTTTAAGAGATTCCAAATATCTGTTCATTTGTAAGTTTATGCGTGGGAAAAAAATCTACATCAAAATAAAACTGTCTGACTCTAGGCAAAGAGATTACAGATAATTTCTATTTTCTTCTCTATATTTGCACGTTTTATTAAATTTACCCCTTAGATGTTTCATGTTCTCAAAGGTATTATAAATGGTATTTTTTTATTTCAATTTCTAATCATTCACCGTTTCCTTGCATATCGTTTTAATTTTGTTCTTTTGCTTCAAAATCAAAGATACTGTTGACCAGCTTAAATCCAATAAGCATCAGAATGACACTGCAGAATCACCACTTTTGGCATGCCTGATAATTTCCGCATTTATCCAAATCTATTGAGTCAAAGACTAATGTTTCTTACTACTAGTGATAGTTAAGCATTTCTTTCTCTGTTTTTCCACAGAAGGTAGAAATCCAATGGAAAACTGATTTTCAAATGTCTGTTAAGGAATGAAAATAATTCTTCAAAGGAAATCTTACCTAGGAAAATATCATGTTGCACAAATTAGAAAAAAAAAAATTGCTTTGGTTGAAATAAGGCTGGGCCCAAAGCACTGCCCATTCAACCCACCGTCACTGCATCCCTTCCCTTCTGTGGCCCGTTTCTAAAGGGCACAGTGAGAAAATCCCTTACAAGATACTACAGTAACTGCACAAACAATAACATGAAGATAATGATAGCAATAAACAAACAGAATCACTAGCTGGCTGACAGCTATCTCACTACTATGGAATGGATCAAAACATTTGCTCACTGGTTGTTATGTGAAAGTTGAAAGAGCACAGAGGAGGTAGTTTAGGTGTGTCAATCTATAGATTGTTCAAAAGTCAATGAAAGTTGAGAGCTATACATACCATCCACTAGTTAACATGCTAATCATTTTAATTAACCATCTCATTTAATTCTACCAACAACCCTACAAAGCAGATACTATCTTAGTTTTACAGCTAATTAATAGGAATAAAAATCAAACTGGATTTCCAACTAAAGTCTGACATTAAAACCCACAAAGCCATGCAGTCTCCAAGTAAACAAAATGATATTGCTTTGCAAGAGAGTTGAACAAACACGTAACATCAAAATCAATACAAGAAAACGTCAATTGAAATTTTTCACCTCAATCTCTTTTAGGTAATGAACAAGATAAAAATATAGAAACTAAAAATGTAATATAACTAGAGGTCATGAATAGTCTTATAGGTAAAAGTTTGTAAGGATATCTCAGCACATATAACATATAATCAAAGCTCATTCTCGAGTGTTTAAATTGAGGTTTAGCAATAGCAAATATTTCTCTAAGAGCTAACACCAGATTATTCTGCTTTCGTCTTTACACACGTCTCTGTTGGCAGTAACTTCTCTATAGACTATTTACCTTTTATTTTGCATTCCACAGTTAAATCCTTCAAAATGCAAATACACGAGACAGACACTGCAGATAATGTTTGAAAGAAAGTAGTTATGTTTTAGACCAGTTTTAGAGAGGTGATTCTCAAACAGCACTGATAAAGAAAATGACTAAAGAGATACAATAAAAAAAGGAAAAGAAATCTTCACATCTCATGACAGTCTTTTCATTATTCTTTTCATGAATTTTCCATTTAAATATGAAAATATATTTCAAATTTGCTTGAACATATTTGAAATTAAATAAAATTTTAATATAGATGCTTGTTCTCCCTACCTAAGGATAATTATAATTGATTGCATGTACTGGTTTTTGTTAGACTGAATCTGACAAAACTGAAGTTGAGACCAAATGTGTTAACCCACCATGGTCCTTTTGTAATCACTTATTTCAGCAAAAAAGAAATAGGTATTTTTGAACACACAGATGTTTGTCCTAATATTATTTTGGATTCTAACTAAACAAATCTCATGACAACATATAAGTACTACTATTACTTCTCGAGTAATATAGTATCTCTCCCTTCCCTAAAGTCAATACAAATATTTGTATTAATACCACAGGTGTTTATAAGTCATTAACTGCTTATGAAGTAAATGTCAAGGAAGCAGGGAAGCACACATCTGTTCAACTGTTATACAACATTAGTTCCAAGAGGCTTCACTTGTTCAAATAGTCTTCTGCCTAAAAAATATAATCAAGATTCAATTTTTAAAAAGTCTCAAGCACTCAAATGAAACCTAGAGTACATAATTAAAGAACATAATAAGATTTTATTCCATTGAAATGTACCTCCAAAAATTACCTAGTCTTGCTTAGATTAGAAATAATGAATAAAATTCCAAGGAATTCAATGTTTCTAAACCATTCAAGCGAAATACCAGGTGCATCCCAAATCACAAGCATGCTATCTAGAACGCAAGTCATTTCCTGCATTCTAGCCTTTCATAAATACTGTTTTTCCTTGGTGAATTAAAAAGTTCATCCACTTATCACACATATTCTAAATCTTCATTTATCTATTTAGTTATAATCAAAATTAAGATTCCAAAGAGAATTCTCATTGAAAATGTAGGATACTTGCCTGAAATTTTACTATTAGTATAAACTGCTACTGACTTATTTCAAATTTTTAAAATTATCTTGAGTGTTCTCTACTGCTTTCTGGCTAAAAATTACTGAAAAAAAATATGAGCATATTTCATTTTCTCAGTCTCCCATACCTTGCAAACACTCATCCTCTAAAAGACCAAGAC